TGTCGCGTAGGACGACGACCCCGTCTTCATCGCGGCCGCGTCGGCGCTCTTTGAAGCGGCGCAGGGCGACACGCTGGCGCTCCTTCACCTTCTCCCGGCGCGCCTTCTCCATCGCAATGGAGTCCTGGCGCGCCCATTCTAGGGCCGCGTCGTCGTCGTCGAACTCCGCCTTCACCGGCGCAAGCCCCGGCTCTGTCTTCACCGGCGCCAGCCCCGGCTCCGTCTTTGGCTTGACGAAGCGCGGAGGAGCCCACGAGGACGAGGCGCGCCGGCCGCCCTCGTTGATGACGATGCCGGCGCTGCGAGTGCGCCGGCCGAGCGGCGACTCCGCCGCGGGCTCGGCCTTGACGCCGAGCAGGGCCGGAGTGCCGGAGGAGTGCGAGGAGGATCGGGAGGAAGAAGAGGAGGAGGAGGAGCCGAACCTCCTTGGCGCCCATGGCCCGACGCGTCGGTGCTGCGCCGGGGGGTACGCCAACGGCGGGTCGTTGCCGCCCTTGAGGTACGTGAGCATGCCCTCGAGTGTGCGGCCGGGGACGCCCCACCAGAGGTGGCACCCCTCGCTGTTCTGCCGGCCGCCGACCACCGGCGCGCCGTTGGTGGACGCCAATCGCTGCTGCTGGCGGCGCTCGAAATACGCCGCCCAGGCCGCGTGGTTGTCGGCGGCGTACTGGGGGAGGGAGAGTTGGGCATCGGTGAGGGACGCGTGCACGATCTCGACCTCCTCGGCGAAGTACTTCGGCTTCACCACGGCGTCGGGCAACGGGGGAATGGGTACTCCCCCGGCGCTGAGCCTCCACCCCGATGGCCCGGCGCGCATGTCCGGCGGCGCCGGGATGTTCGCCTGGAACAGGAGCCAGGACTCCAGTTCGCGGAGCGAACGGCGGCCGAAGCCGTTGGCCGCCGCCTCGTCTCCGGGGAAACGTTCTGCCATGGCAACGGCGGGGCGGGGCGGGCTCGGGAGAGGTAGAGGGAGGGGCCGGAGGGCGGCGCTCGAGAGAGGCAGGGAGAGGGAGGGGTTGGACGGCAGCGAGGGGGAACTGGTCTGGGCACAGGCGAGTGGAGGTCGCTGGCTTTTATAGCCGGGCCGCGCTCGTGTGTACGCGTGCGCGGGAAGGGAGGCGTCGGCGCGCCGCCCCGTGAAGCGCCGCCCGTGCGCGCCGCCCCGTGAAGCGCCGCCCGTGAGGAATCAATGGCAAGGCTGACCGGCGGCAGCCTTGCTATTGATTCCCCGCGGGAAACCGAGGCCGTTGGGGGAAGACGAGGCGCCGAGTCGCTGACGCGGCTGGCCCGCGTCTTTTTCGCGCCAAAACAGCTCGCCCCGGCGCCCCCGGGCGCCCCCCAGCGCGCCGGATTCGGGCTGGGTCCGCCGGCGCTGTTTTCGGCCCAAGCCGGCGAAAATCGGGCTCCTGGGGGCGCGACTGGGCCGTTTTTTCGGCGCCGGTGCGAAAAAAACGCCTGGGGAGGCCTTCCTGGGGCGCGGCTGGAGATGCCCTAAGTTCTGGAGTTCGTTGTCTTGGCCACCGTCATCGACTTCGTGGCTCTTAACCCCAGTTGGCGGAACACCATCACCTGGATTTGGAACTTTTGCGGACAATACTCCTCTTGCTCTGCCTACTTGGCACAATTCATCGGTGTCACCAAAAATTCTCAGTGGAGAAGATTTGGAGAGCCCATGTGGAACGGAAATGTAAACTCTTCTATTAGCTTGTCCTCCATGGTAAGATTCTCACGATGGACCGTTTGGCGCAACGGGGTTGAATACTTGACCCCATCTGCCACCTTTGCCTTACTGCGCTCCACCTATGTCAGGATTGCCTCTTCACGATCACGGCCCACCACCAAGTGCCTGCTTGGGTGGATAACGATGTCCCTTTGGAGTCTCCCTTCCCCTACCAACAATAGATGCTTGGTGGGATGGCACTTTGCATCATATAGATTGTAACCATAAGCGGAGGCGCATGAGACACCTTATATACATCATGTGGAATGCCTGGAAAAAGAGGAACCGATGAATCTTCAATGACACGAGTTCAATATACGTACATTGAGGTGGCGCACTTAGACTTTTGAGGATATCATACTTGCTATGATGGTTCTTGTGCTTAAATTGATTCAGTTCTCAGCCTAACGTGTCAAAGCTAACTTTACATACTATACTAGTTTTACCCTAAAAAAAGAAAATATATACAAATAAAAATGGAAGATTAAAATGGTACTCATAGTAGTGATATAAAACAGAGGAATTAATCAAGATGCAACTGTCACTCGCCTGCTGCAGTTCTCACGTGAAGACTGCAACACGAACATCCTGATTATCTGGAAAACTTGAGCCATAATTGCTAAAATCGCAGTAGTTGCATTTCATAAATTAAGGAACACAAGCGTGGTACTCCTGCTATTGCTGGCCACATGTTAAGGCAGGGGATGTTGTCATCGCTCATGTATGTATCAACGTGCAATATCAGTTTGATTGCACGTTTTGTATTGTATTCACTCCGTTTCAAAATAGATGACCCAACTTTATACTAACTTTGGACTAAAATTAGTATAAAGTTGAGTCATTTATTTTGGAACGGAGGGAGTAGGACGTATTCATGCAACAAAAGGTATCATGGATGTGGTCTTCTATGGATTTCCCAAGTCCCAACATATACTTGTAGTGCTTCCTTTGCCTGGCTTGTTCGTGCAACAAAAGGTATCATTGCTACTCCCTCCGTTTCAAAATAAATGACCCAACTTTATATTAAAGTTAGTACAAAGTTGAGTCATCTATTTTAAAACAAAGGGAGTAATTACGAGCCTCACGTTTAAAGCTCGACTGTCTCAACGTGATCAAAGCGTTTCTTCTTTCTTTACTTTCCCTTAAGGAAGAGAGGATTTCGTTGCTGATTACCCGAGATTTCTAGAACCTCGAGCACTCAAGTGATCGACATAACATGGAAACAAGGAGCGCCGAATAACAGTACCTAAAAGAGATCCATAGAGAAACAAAAACGAAAATGTTAATGTCCACACGTGTGGGCGTTAACCATCTTGACCACACGCCAGCATCATCGTTGGGTACTTTGTGCACGAATCTTGACACAATCCGGTCGTTTTTCTGCGCCACGTAGGACGAGGCGCGTGTGCAGTATGCGAGTCAGTTCGCCCGCACGTTGGTTGCCCTCCCGCGGTCAGCGGTTGCCACTCGGGGGCGTGCGGTGGAACTGCTATGCGCCCGCACGCCACGCGCCGACCGCGGTTGACGTCAAACACGTCGCACACCTCTGCCCCCTCTCCCTCACGTTTCCATTTACTCACAACCGCACCGCAGTTACTGGCACAACCCTCTCGCACTTCAAATCATTGGAGGAGAAGGCGAGGGGAGAAGGCGACGGCGGAGGCGGAAGAATCGACGATGTTCGCGGCCGTCGGTGGTGGTCGCCGGAACGGAGTGGCTTCGCCGGAGCGCCTGTGGGTTGAAGGTAATGCTCGCTACAACTCTCGCAATCCCTTCCTGCATTTTCCCTCCTTCCCTCCCTGTTCGATTTCTCGATCGAGATTCGTAGAGATACAGGCGATTCGGCGATGCGTCGGCGTTCCCGCCGGTGGCGAAGTCGTCTGCTAGCCGTTTTTGGTGGCACCGGGGAGTTTCGTCGCCGCCGCCGCGGCGGCCTCGTCGGTGTGGTTATGCCTGTCCGGAGGCACGCACTAGTCTTGCCTTTGGATTGGGCAGGTGTCTCCCGGTTTGTTTGATGCGCATTGGTTCGAATTGGTGTTTGCAATCAGTTCGGGGGAGAACTTTGAGGTTGAATTTGAACTCACTGTAGTTGCCATTGAACCCTAGATCTAGTTAGTTGGTTTTTGAAACTGTAGTATGAGGCAAACTTGGTAGTTTGATTAACTATCATGATTATATGGCAACTAACTTCATGAACAAGTGTGATAGTTGCCACAAACGTGTTTCCCATGCGACAACAAACTTACTGAAATGACTGTGATAGTTGCCACAAATAAGCTTCCCCATGCGGCAACTATTTTATTGAATGACTGTGATAGTTGCCACACACACGCTCTTGCATGTGGCAACTAATTTGGTGAATTACTGTGATAGTAGCCACAAACATTCTTTTTCCTTGTGGCAACTAATATTTTTGTGAATGATTTGTGATAGTTATCACACGGTGTGAATGGTAAAGTGTAGTAAATCGGTAGTCAATGCAGTTTCAGCAGCCAACTGCACTGGACGGCAACTAATGTGCACATCAAGTGTGCCTATTGCTACTTGGATAGTATATTCATGTGGCAAATGGAATGTGAACACACTGTCTATTGCCATAATGCAGATATGACAGTGTGGCAAATTGGCTGTATAATGTGGCAACCAATTTTGCATATCAATTGTGTCAGATGCCATACATACGCTTTACATGTGGCAAGTTTTTGGCTTACCACATCATGTCTGTTGCCATGTTACAGTCAGTACAATGTGGCAAATTCATTGTACTGTAGACACAATTTTTTCATTTTGCCACAATGACTTTGTGATATCTAAACACACTGTGGCAATTTTCAGGTTCTTGATTAGATGTGGGTTCATTGCTTTTTTTGTAGTATGTGTTTCATTTCAGCGCGACAACTTCACCCTAGCATATTTCTGCCGCTGAACAGGTGGCATTTGATTGGTGTATTTTTAGGACAGTGTGTGAGCTGCCACATCTTAGTTTTTGTGATGAGGAGGATTTTGTGACTTTCTATCGTACTATCTTGGGCTAACATGGCATCTTCAACATTTTTGTTTTCAAGTGCATTTACCATCTGTACACTTTTTTTTACTTGATAATGCAACCAACGCGCTTACTTGCCACGTTTATGTTTTCGACAATCATAGGAGGGGTGCATGTGTGTTCATGTTATATTTTTGCATTCACTAGTTGACATTTTCTGTTAGGTGGCAACTGCTTACCTCTTGCATTTTACATTTCCACCATGACAATTTGGTCTATTCCTATCTCAGCAGAATGGCTCGTGGCGATCATCAAATTGATGATGATGATTTCATGGATCCACCACAGCGTAATCGGGCAACTGGACGGAGAAAAGAGGGTGATGAGGTAACTGTCCACACATCCCCGCCCCTCCTCCTGCTTTATGTTACTGGTTGGAACCTCGAGCTTGCAGTCGTCTGTCATGAACTAAAATTTCATGACACTGTAAAACATGGCAACAACTGATCACTTCTTGTCTGTTTTTTGTAGAAGAAACGTATTCGCAACAGAGCCTCCCAAGAACGACTGACTGCGTTGACTGACAAATTCACCGACAATCAGAAGGGAACTGCTGCTGAGATGGGTATGCAGGCTCTGATGGATGTCCGGTGCACGAACCTTGTCAACCCTGTATGCGATTGGCTTGGTGAGATCTACCACCCCGCCTCCAGGGAATTCATGATTCCGGGACGTGGAAGACTACCGTTGAACGAGGAATCCGTGTTCTGTACTTTGGGTGTGCCTCGTGGACATATCAAAGTCCTGTACGAGGTCAATAATGAGATAGAGGAAGCGATGTTCCCCCATTTGTTTCCTGGATTGGAATCCATGCCGAACACGTCTGCACTGGCAGATTCGCTGCAGACCATGACGACGCATGGAGATGTTTTCAAGATGAAGCTACTCATGTACCTCATCTCAGCTGTTTTCGCGCCGACCACTTCTCTTCGCCCAAGCAACAAATGCTTCCCCATCCTGGTGAATGATCCATCTTTACTACTTTATTTTCCTTCAATCTTTTTTGGCTCCGATGTCATGTGTAAAGCTAGTGACTGCCAGTGTTTTCGATGTTTTTTTTCATTTGATTTCTGATGTGGTAACCTTTTTGCCCTGAAATTTTGTGTGGTGCAGGCGGATCTGAAAAATGTGAAGAACATGAATTGGTGTAAGTTTATTTCTGACTTCCTGCACGATGCATTCTCAAGCAAGATGTACCAAAAGGGTTGTCGACTGCATTTATTGGTATTTTTTTACCAGTTCTTTTTGTGAACACTATTTTTTCACACACTTTTATTCATGCATGGCAACCTGATCATAACAAGATGGCAACTGCCATAATAACAATATGGTAACTGTCATAATGACAATATGGCAACTTCCATCATATTAGTATGGCAACTGCTACCACATTATGATGGCAACTGCCATCTTAGCAATATGGCAATTGCCATCACACTATGATGGCAACTAGCACATACAGAAGGCAACTTCTTCTTTTTATTCCATTCTTTTCATGCACATCAACTTGATTATTATGGGAACATAGATTATCCTGTTTTTTTTACTACAAAAGTACCCATGATGGCAACTGATATTTCTTTCTTTGTAAATTTGTTTTAAATCATCTCATGTATGTCGACTGTCTTGATCTGTCCACCGTGGATTTCACTGGGATAGGAGGCCCGCCGCCTACGCACAAGTTTGCTGTTTCTGCATGGACTATCAATGTTGTCAAGGCTGTACTTGCCGCGGACAGGGTAACTGATATCAAATATGGAAAACTGCAGGTTAGTTTTGGTTTCTCTCTCCACACGGCATGTTTACAAATTTGACATGAGGCAACTGTCCGTGGTTCATAAGGGATGACTACCTTTTGTTATCCATGGCTGTCTGCGTATTGTATCCATATTTCACTCCACATGGGAACTCTTTCATTCGTGCTGAAACTTACCTTCTATCTCTTACATCCTTGCTATTTTTTTTGTTTTTTCTAGCTGATGGCCAAGCATGCTATAGACTATAGCGTGTTTGGGGGGCCTCAAAACTTTGAAAAGTGGATGGACGTGCACTCAGCTTCGTCTTGCCCTACTGAGGTAATCAAAATATCTACATCTATGGTTTGTCGTGGATTATTTGTTGATGTCGCGCAAGTGACTGCAATATGGGTGGTTGTTGATGCTTCTTGTTTCGTGCACAGACGAGGGCACCTGTTGAGCATCTAATTGGGCAGTTTGCATCCGGAATGACCGGCTTGCTCGGGAAGTTGGTCGAGGGGTGGACGTCCCTTAGTGGCTCTGACAGCGACGCGGTTGCGAGGCAGTTCACTTCATTTATCCCAGAACATACACATCGACCAACCGGTTGCTGTGGCCGGTATGACTACAACAGTTCCCAAGAGCCAGGTGACACACAAGATGATCTAGATGGAGACGCTGGCCTCAGCAAGGATGACGACGATGACATGGAGAATGTGCAACAGGACACCGATGACGATGAACATGCTGAAGTTCGCGTAGGTGGTAACAAGGGCAAGGATGCAACAGATGTCCCCCCACCAGAGAAAGTCAAAGAACATACGGCTGCAAGAGGCGAGGGGGTGTTGCCATCAAGGAGGGGGAGGGCTCCAGAGGATGTTGGGCAGGGTTCTCCTGGCAAGAGGTCTAGGACCGATCCCGTAGCTGTCAGGAGGAGGTTCGACTTTAATTTTAATTTTTTGCTTTGTCTATTTTTTTGGAATAGACTCATCCCTTTCCTGCACTTGCTTTTTGTCAAGCGCAGCAATGAGTTTGTTGTCTGACAATTGCCACCTTTTTTTTCTCCCCATCTCATACGTGCAGCGAGCCGACCGCTGGTGAACGAGCAGTTACGAAGAAACAGGCGCCAACGCCAACCCATGTTTCTGCTCGGTTGAACAAAGGTGCCCCCATTGCCAGTGACACCCCTTCCACCAGGTCTTCTCCTCGTACGACGACGACCAACACCGGGGATCCTGTCGTGTTGCCAGACCTGAGGAAGTCAGTCAAGAAGTAGGTTTCTCCATGTGCTTTCATTGACATAGTGCTATTTTCTTCTTGATTTTCCAATGCAACTGTGCAGCTTGTCACATGGTCTTCTGTCATCGTCCCCCACATAGCAACTGATGTTTTTCCAAATGATTTCTTCCTTCATTTTCAAGTGTATGGCAACTCCTATTGGTTTTTACATGGCAACTGGCATCTAGGCCAAATGGCAACTCTTACTGTACCTAATGGCAATTGCCATATTTATCGTTGGCTTGTGTGCTCATCCCACAGTGCTCAGTCATTTTTATCATTCTTCAAGTTGGCTAATATGGCAACTGCTGATGGATTTTGTATGGCAACTGCCAACTATGTCACATGGCAACTCATGTTCCCCTTACATGGCAACTACCAGCTTTTCCACTTGGTTTTCATTTTTAAGATTTCTATCATGGCAAATATATTTTGTTCATTTTTAATACCTTTTTCATGTGCTTTCTTTTTTTGCAGGGTGAAGAAGACTACTATGCGCGGGTCCAAGCATATCATTAAGGACCCACTCGAACGCCTGCATTCAAAGTTGTCAACAGGGGCAACTCAGATGTTCACGAGGCGCCAGGCTACAATACTGCTGTTGCACCATCAACTGTTCCCACTAACTCTAATGCAAGTGGCCGACCATCTCCGCCGGCTGCAGATGTGCAGGCCAGAACAACAGGCATCCGTACATCGGGGAGTGACGAGTCGGTATCTGCCAGGACAGCTGAAATATTGCCAACTCTTCTCGCAATGAAGGATGCTGCTGTGAGCCATGCCACCCCATCAGCAAGCGTTGAAGTGGACGCTCCCGAGACCAACCTAAGCAAGGAAGATTCTCGCTCATCTGACACTGATTCCAAGCGTGTGTGTGGTGACACTCCTGTGTCCACGACAGAAGCGGCTGAGGCGGCAGTTCACAATGATATGCCATCTATAGGTGAGAGTCTTGGCACAACAGCTCCAGCTCCTGTCGGTGCAGATACTGCTAAGGCGACCGTTTCGCGTGCTGGTCTTCCACCTAGGCGTCGTAGCCCCCGCAAGCAATCAACAGCCATACCCAACACACCGACTGTAGCTAGGAGCAGCAGAGACGAGTCTGGTTATGTCCTTGCGTCCACACTGTTCCCCCCACCTGCCACAAGCAATGCGACGGAGAAACCGGAAGACCGGAGCACAACTGATGCAGGTGTCAAGCCGGGCATGAGTGACGCAGGTGAACGTCTGGAGCAGAGTGCGCCTTTACCTGCAGTGGAAATCCCCAGTTTAAATCTGCGCACTTCCAAGCTCCCAGTCAATGTGGGTGTCCCATACAGCCCAAACAAGAAGATTGTCAAGAAAGCTGCGGCTGATACCGCTGACAAGACGCCCCGCCCTACAAATAAGCCCGATCATTCTGTAGCGGCCGATTCAGATATGTTTGTTGATCTTTCACCTTTGGATTCTGCCGCGCAAGTTGTTCGTGGTCCGGCAAGTAGGCATGAGATGCACCCAATGGCCTTCACCCCACCGAGCTTCAGTCTTGACATCAGTCAAGATGAACCAGTGGTGCCAGATCCTATGCCAGTTGCATTTGCTTTCCCGGGAGGCATGCCCGCAATGATGGCGCAGCCAATGGTCGAGGGCAGGAAGGCTGTCAAGTTTGCAGAGCCGATAGTTCAAGGTACATTTATCATGTGCTTATATCATTTTCTTGTATACATCTTTGTAGTTTGACTTTTGTCGCAATCGTATTTTCTTGGGGGGGTCCTCACTCATGATGGGCAACTGATATGTGATGACATGGCAACTGGATTTGATGCACCATGTCACCTACATTATTTTTGCTGCCATGCTGCATTTCACATTTTTTTTGAGCAACCACATGGCAACTGAAGTTGATTCAACATGGCAACTGTAGTTGCTGTCACATGGCAAATACAGTGCATTACACATGGCAACTGAAGTTGCTGCACTATGCCATCTGTACTTTTTTTTGTTTCCATGCTGCATTTTCTCCACTCGGCAAGCACATGTCTAGTTTAGTTAGCACAACATGGCAACTGTAGTTGCTGCGACATGTCAACTACAGTCAAACCAGATGGCAACTTCAGTGCAACTACATGGCAACTGCAGTTGCCACACCATGGCCACTAGATGCACCACACATGGCAACTCCCCATTTTTTTGTTCATACATCTCACATAATGCACCCTATCTTCTCACAATGCATCTGTTTTTGATTTCTACGCATCCTAATCCACTTTTTTGATCCTTGCAGCCACCCCTAAGGAGATTTCACCATCACTTGATGAAGCTTACCGCAGGATCAAGGAGGCAGCATTGCATAGGAGGACCTCACGAGGGCAAGGCCAATCAAGTTCCAACGTGCCTGCAGATACGGTATCTGAGAATACCATCAGGAGTGCCACCCCTGGTTCTGCGAGGCAGGAAAGGGTAGTTCACCCACCTCCCGCGGAAGACTACGAGCCCGAATTCAGGGCCACTAAGGAACAGACCCAGCTGTACGATATTGTCAAGTGTTTTGGAAATGCGAGGTCCAGCAGCAAGCACATGAAGGAGCTGAAAGCGTAAATGACCACACCCCCATAATCTCTCATTTTGCTTTGTTCCTTTTTTTATCTTCTTTTTTTGTACTTTCTATACATGATCCGCTTAGTTTACCTTCTTTCATTTTTTTTACTTAGTAGGCATGATTCTTTCATGTTATATCATTTTCATACAGCTCATGTTTGGACAGAATCAAGGTCATTCAATGCGAAGCGACGTACGTCGACCAGGGTGATCTTGCCGAGTCCGTGAGGCCAAACGGTAAAATGTCAACGAACGTAGTTGCATGCGGGATTGACTACATCAACAATCATATGGATGTGTGTGCCGGCAAAACAATCATGCATTACAGTGTGACCTGCAAAATATGGGATGGGACTTTCACCACAGAATCCTGAGGAAGAATTTTGCACAACACGGTGAATTCAAGCTCACAATGAAGAAATATGTGAGTATTCCTTCCCTGTTTGCACTTTTTTTTCACATGGTATGGTTTTTTGCCATCTTCTGCACTCTGTTCATGTGGCAGATGTTTCATGTGGCAATAGCTGCCGTGCAAACTGACATTTTGATTTCTTGCATCTCGTACAAACAGTGTGGCAACTTCATAGAAAAATACACGGCAAAATTTGTTCATACATGGATGTCAACTTTCTTTCAACTACCCCCACCCATAACCAAATAGTCTACATGATTCTACTTTTTTTTGTCCCTCTGCCGTTCTTCATGTGAACTTTGCTTCTCATTTCCCTCACTTTTAAATGCAGGTCATGTTTCCCATGTTTCAGGAGCTTGCACCACATGACCAGCACGACAAGTGTGGTCACCACTATGCGATCTGTCTTGACCTGAAGAACCAACGCTTTGTGGTGCTTGATTCAATGCGTTCGGCAGCTGATGCAGACCTTACTACGCATGCTGAATTCTTCATCAACAACCTCAAAGAGACATGGAACCGTCACTACGAACACTCAAAGGTCCAGATCATACATTTCCCGGTTGAGTACGTGGCGACTACGAAGCAAGGGAACACGTAATTTCCTACCCCCATCCTCCATGTGCCATTTACATCAATCCAACCCCTCTTTTTGTTGTTACATCTGAATTGAAGTCTATCACTGCTATGCCTGTCCTTTTTTGCGAGTTCACCTGACTCTTTTTATTGTGCAGGACGGACTGTGGCTTTCACATGTTGGAATACTTTGCAAAGTGGGAAGGTAGACTTGTCCCCGCTGTCACAGCTGCAATAGTCGTTGAGCTCCGAAAAATCTACACGTGGAACTGGTTGACGAATGAAGATTTCAACAAGCGGTCTGGAGCACGCGAGTTTGTGGAGGAAGTTGTCAAGAAAGTCATCAAGAGGTACAAGTGATCACGCGGCGATACACACCGGATGCATACCTTACATTCTGTTGCCGAGGAATGTAAGGTACTATCTCTTTTGTTCTCGTCAAAAACTATGTTCGTGTGCTATGTTATGACTGCAACCCCGCGTAGGCTACTATGTAGTGGTGGTGTGTGAGCGACATTTGAATAGTTTCTGTAATATATGTGTGGATGTGAACCTACTTAGGCGTGACAGCAGATATGTTTTTTATGTTTATCATTGTTACTATGGTTTCATCATTTGTATCACCCGTTTGCTGTTTCGAATGCGTCACGATGTTTTAAAACATGGCAAATGTAGTTCATCAGACATGGTTAGCGAAAGTCATCGTCGTTGTTCATTTGGACGTTTTGCTTCTTCTATTTCATCACTAACTTCACCGGCTAGCATGGTAGGTTGATCATGTAGCCACAACCTTTGCTGCGGTTTATGCACGTTACGCTTTTTCCAACTTGTTTCCCATATATTGCACACAACACAATATGTGTCAGTAAACCGCGTCGATTTTGTCATGTAAATATATGCGATATAGAGTCATTACAAATACTATGGCATATTTTCAGTACAGCTAACATGGCAGATCCAGTACAAACAACACGTCAGATCCAGCATAATTAACATGGCAGATCCAGCATAACTAACATGGCAAATCCAGTACAACTAACATGGCAGATCCAGTGCAACTAGCATTGCATATTTTTCAGTATAAAATAGTATGGCATATTTTTAGTACAAAATAGCATGTCATATTTTTAGTATAAAATAGCATGGCAGATTAACTACACATAACATGACAGATTAAGTACCCATAACATGGCAGATTAAGTACCAACAACATGGCAACTACATTTACCCATTCAATGCATTCTCCTTCAACTTCTGAAGCCCCTCTAGAGTCATTATCCCAAATCAAAAAAAGTTCACAACATATAGGGTACAAAACAAAATGTCCACAAGGACCATGTCACAGTGCCCCAACTTTTGCTTACGAATTGCCTGTCCCTTTCTTCGTTTTCTTGTGTTTTGCTTGAATCTCCAATCCCGATTTGTACCTTATCTCTCTTGGACGACCCTTTGTGATGGAACGGGGTGGGTTCCTGACCTGGGTTTGTGTGCTTGCTGTTCTAGATCTTATCTCAGAGTTTTCAGATGATGGCCCCGTGGATGAAGGCACACTTGATGTGCGGGGGAACCGGTGTAAGGCTTCCTCAGCTTTCCTCTTCTTGATCTCATCAAGCTCTCTTTTCAGGGCCTTCTTGTGTTTTTCTGCGACTCTCGCTGTCTCATCACTCTTGCATGCTTCATCAATTAGCTCAGCATAGTTCTTTGTCAGCACAACGTGCCTCACGGCTTCCATGGTTGCCTCAGGTCTCTCGTCATGCACAGCTAGAACTGTGTTTGTTGTCTGCGGCGCAAACGTGTCGTCAGCGTCCCAAGTCCATCGCCGCCTTATGAAATGGCGGGGCATGCGTGTCACAGCGTTCATGTCCATTACTTTCAGTATGTGACAGCACACAATGCCGTCCTGTTCAAACTTGCACCATTGGCAGTAGTATTCGCCTTGTTCGATCGAGGCTTTCACGAAGTAGTTCCTTCCTTTGTCTGGGTCTTCAGGTTCTGAATCCGACATGCCCAAAATAGAACACACCTTGAACGTATGTTCGTCCACCTGGAAAGCCGTGAACATGCTGGCACGCTTTATTTCTTCCCGGAATCTGCAAGTTTTGTGTGTTTTCTGTTAAACTATCGTGTGATCTTTTTTTGTAGCATCTTATGTTGTCATGGAAATAGAAATAGATTTTTGTTTGAACATGGCAAACATAGTATACTGAACATGGCAAACATAGTACACTGAACATGGCAAACATAATACACTGAACATGGCAACTGCAGTAAACTATACAAGGCAACTGTATTGCATTTTCAACTGACCATTGTCATTTCCACACCAACACTCCTCACTGGAAGCCCTTTGCATAAAATATGGCAACTGAATTTTTATTGAACATGACATCTACAGTTGAGTAAACATGGCAACTGCATTTTTCAACAAACATGGAAGTTTTGCATTTTTTAGTAAACATGGCAACTGCATTTCATCAAATGTGTCTAGAATATAACGTTTTTCAGTTGACATTGGCATTTGCATACCAACATGCCCCAATGGCAGTACAGTGCATTAAACATGGCAACTGCACTTCATTGAACACGACAAACAAAATTTTCATTAAACATGGCAACTGCAGTTGAGTAAGCATGGCAAACAGTATTTCATTACACATGGCAATTGCATATCATGGCAACTGCATTGCACCCTATAAAACACCTACTGCCTTAGTGCTTTTTGTGCAAATAAGACTATAACGCAACTGACTTACTTGTTAAAGATCTTGTTTGTGTATATCTTGCTCATTTGCCTCTCCATCAGTAAATACGTTAGCAATTTCGGCTGCTTTAGTGCGGTGGTAGCTTCTTGCTACAGCTCAGATCCCAGAATTTTTTGTTGCAAAGCTGTGTACTGCTTGGCAAACTGTAGCAATGAGTTGCCAGGGCTCACGTACCGCTTCAAAACAGCATTGAACCCCTCGCTGTGCTGTGTAGTCCGCAGAAAGGGAAAGAAGCACTACATGAAGTAGGCTGGCACCCAGTACATTCGCTTCTCCCACAGGTTAGCAAGCGTCTCGTTGTCTTGGACTTGATATGTTTCAATCATGGCCATCCAGCTCCTTTCAAACTCCTCCACCGTCAAGCTATGGTCCACGCACAGCTCGAGCACCTTGTGGAGCTCTGGACGGTCAGCAAAGAACGGTCCTAGCGTCTCTTCAGCCTTATTTATAATGTGCCACCTGCAGTGCCTGTGCACTACCAATGGAAATACCTCCTCTATGCCTGCACGCATGCTGAAATCCTAGTCTGTTATTATGTTCATCGGAGCAAGTCCATCCATGCACTCCAAGAAGGTC